TAACATTAAGAAATTTAGGGCAAAAATCCTACGTGAACAAGCTCTAATAGCACTTTAAGAAAATAATACATGTTAACTAAATTCAAGTAGAATAATGATAAAACTAATTCAAGCAAAAATATTCTTCAAGTTAATAACAGCAATTAGTAGCATTTATATACCCAAATAATAACCATTCAGAAGATGTAAATGAAATTTTCTCTTCATTATAAGGGGGCTGAGGAAGGTAAAGTACTTAAGAATAAACTTAGAATGTCAGGAAATGTTTGAAATCTGAATGAAGAAAAAATAAGACACTCTTCAAAAACACACTTGAATAAATACAAACATATTCTTTGTTCTTGGTTAGGAAGTCTCAACATCATCAAGATCAGTTCTCCCTAAATTAATTTATAAATTTAATTCAGTTCCAATATAAATACCAAAAGGCTTATTATGGAGCCAGACAAGTTGATGGAATAATAAATATGCATGCTTAAGACCCAGGGGAATGGGGTGTGACTGCTAATGGGTTTCTTTTTGGGGTGATGAAAATATTCTAAAGTTGATTGTGGTTTTGGTTGTACAACTCAATAAATACACCTAAAACCACTGAATTGTACACTTTAAATGGGTGTATTGTTATTTTTAAAAAGCAAGCAACAATACCTGAGGATAAACTGAAAAAAAGCTGGGGAAGGGGTGGAGACTAGCCCTACCAGATATTAAAGCATACTACAAAGCTTTTATTTTTAAATAATGTGGTAATGGCACATAAATACCCCAAGTGAAACAGAGTAGAAAGTTTACAAATACATGGAGAAATCTAGTATATTATAAAGACAGCATCTCAAGTCACTTGGGGCAGTGATGGCCTTTTTAATAAATGATGTTGGGATAACTTTGATAGTAATTTGGCAAAAGATAAAATTAGGTTTATTTTCTCATTCCATACACAAGAATGGACTGATGATGAAACCATACGAGTACTAGAATAAAACATGGATAAATTCCTCTATAATCTGGATATAGGAAAGTCTTTCTAATTAGGACTCAGTCCAGATGCAATTTAAAGTTTGTGTAAAAATAAAATTTTCTGCATGACAAAAAGAAAAGGCAAATGATAAGCTGGGAGAAGTATTTGTGAATTAGAGAAATATGTATCACAGATAGAGAGTCAAAATACTAAAGAATAATGGGCAAGAGATGTGAGTAGACAGCTCAGCAAAAAAAGATAGTTACCCTTATGCCTATCAAAAGATGTCCAACTTTATTCATAATAAGAGAAATGCAAATCAAAACTTCACTGAGATACCATTTCTTACACATCAGATTGGCAGAAATTCAAACGCTTGACAAATACCCTGTTAGTAAAGCTGCGAGGCAACAGGCAGCCTCATACATTGCTGGTGAGGATGTTATTCTAAATGGAATATTGCTCAGCCATAAAGATGAATGAACTACCAATATGTGTTACAACATGGATGAATCTCGATAACATTATGCTGAGTCAAAGAAGCCAGAAACAAGAGGCCACTGCACTGGATTGAATGGCCCCCCAAAATTTATTAAAACTTAATCCCAATTGTAACTGTTGAAGGTGAGAAGGTGGTAGTTGAAAGGTGGGCCTCAAAGAGGTGATTAGGACCATGTGAGGACCATGCTGTAATGAATGGATTAATAATAGTGGTCATGGGTGTGGTTCTGAGGGCTTTAAAAAGAGAGCACCTGAGAGTCTCTCTCTCTGCTCCACCATTTTCTGCCATGTGAGACCCCTGCATTTGCTGTAAAGCCACCACCAAAGAAGACCCTCACCACATGGGTTCCCTGGACTTTGGACTTCCCAGTCTCCAAAACTGTAAGCAATAAATTTTGTTTCTTGTAAATTACCCAGTTCCAAGTATTGTGTTATAAGCCATGGAATCAGACTAATACAGCCACATATTGCATGATTCCATTTATATGAAATGTCCAGAATAGGCAAATTCATAGAGACAGAATGTTAGATTAGTAGTGGCCAAGGGATAGGGATTGAGGGGCAGGGGAAATACGGAGTGACTGCTTTTGGATACTGGGGTTTTTGTTTGTTTGTTTTTTTGAGTGATGAAAATGTTCTGGAATTAGATAATGGTGACAGTTACATAACCTTGTAAATATGCTAAAAACCACTAAAGTGTCCATTTTTAAGTGGTGAATTTTATGGTATATGAATTATATCTGTTTTTAAAAGCTAAGGAAATCTGAATAAAGTAAGAAATTTAGTTAACCAAAAAGCAGGGAGGGAGGGGAGACTGTACTCAAAATGTCAATGTTATGAAAGACAGACTGAAAAACTGTTCCAGATTAATTTAGATTAAAGAGCTACAACTAAAGGCAATATATAATCCTTAATTGGTTCTTGTTCTGGTGGTGGGAATGGTTATAAAAGACATTATTGGGTCAGTTGACAAAATTATAATAAGGATAGTAGGTTAGATTAAAAGTATTTCATCAGGGTTAAATTTGTTTCTTAATAAATTTAAGAATATTTTAATAAATTAAAAATTCTTAATTTTAGGAAATACAGATATTTGGGGATAAGAGACATAATGTATATGAAATTAATCAAAAAAATGTCTGTGTGTATTTAGTGTGTGCACACATTGAGAGAGGGGGAGAGAGATGCAGGTGGCCAAAAACAGATGAGGGAGAAGGGTAGTATTAAATGTATCTGGGTAAAGCGTAGTCAGATATTTTGTATTATATTTGCAAATTTGTTTTTCTGTAAGGAAAACAAAATTTGGAATAGTGACTGTTAGTAAAGGGTATACAACAATGGGAGCTCTTATTACTCTAGAGTGTATACCTGTTGACACACTTTGTTAAATAATTTGGCATTATTTTACAAAGTGTACATATGCTAGTTCTTTTTTTTTTTTTTTTTTTTTTTTTTTTTTTTTTTTTTCCGTGTCCCGCAA